TCTCGAACTCCTGAGCTCAAACGATCCACCCGCCTCGGCCTCCCAGAGAGCTAGGATACAGGCGTGAGCCACCGCGCCCGGCCATCGGTTAGGTGTTTATTGAGTGAGGTGGAAGGCGAGAGGATTTTTTAAAAAAAATGGATATGTAATTCACAAAACATAAACCTCACCATTTTAAAGTAGAGAATTCAGCGGTTTTCAGTATATTTGCTGTGTCGTGCAGACACCACCATTCCAGAACGTCTTCACCACCCAGATAAGAAACCCCATAATCGTTAGCAGCTATTCCTTATTTTGTCCCCCAGTGCCATGCGCAGAGGCAGCCACTGCTCTGCTTTCTGTTTCTGTGGCTTTGCCTCTTCTGGGCACTTTGTGTGGATGGAACTACGTACTACGTGATCTTTGTGTCTGGCTGCTTTCACTTGACGTGTTGTCAAGGATCATCCGTGTTGTAGCATGTACCGGTACTTCATTCCTTTTCGTTGACAAATCGTATCCCGTCCTATGGATATGTCCCATTTCGTTTGTGCATTCACCGGTTGATGGACACTGGGTTATTTCTCTCTTTTCGGCTGTTACGAATGATGTACAAGTCTTTGTAAGAGCGTGTATTTTCTTTTGGGTATATTGCTTGGTCATAGGGGTCCTTTTGAGGACTACCAGACTGGTTTCCAAAGTGGCCGCACGATTTTGCGTTTCCACCAGCAGCAGGTGAGGGTTCCAGCTGCTCGGCATCCTTGCCAAGCCTCGCTATCTTCCATTTCTGTGACTGTAGCCATCCTCGTGGGTGTGAAGAGGTATAGTGGAGCATTTTGAGCAGGGAAGACTTTGGTTTTAAGCGAATCCCTCAGAGGAGTAGATTGAAGGGGCGCAGAACGGGAAGCAGGGGACCAGCGATGAGGCTACTGCAATAGTCCCAGCAAGAGCTGATGGTGCCTTGTACCGGAGTGCTGGCGCAGGAGATGGAGAGAAGCAGTCAGACTAGGGTAGGGACATTTTGAATGTAGAACCGAGAGGATTTGCTGGCAGACTGGGTGGGATGGGAGCTGAGAGAGAGAGAACAGTCAAGTGTGCTCTGAAGTGTTTGGCTTGAGCAACTGGACGATGGAGTTTCCATTTGTTGAGCTGGAAAAGATCACGGCTAGAGGATCTTTCTGTGTTTTCCTGTGCCAGTCGCTTGGCAGGCAGGGTCAGCCCACGTCGGTTTTTTGGCACACCCCGCTGGGAAGCTTGGGCTGGCGCTTTGGGAGAAGGGGAGGTGCGGGGAAGAAGGCAAAACCACATGATTTACACTTGTTAGAAAAAGCCCACTTGCCGTCTCCACCGGTCGTTCCCTGAATGTCACTTAAAGCAAGCCTTTTCCCTTTTTCCCCTCTGAGTGGAGCGATTTGTACCCGGGGAGTTGCAGAGAACAGCGAGGGCGTTCATTTTGCTCCTGGGCTGGGGCACGTGGGCTGCAGCCTGCGGGACTCTCATTTCTGAGGCCACTTAGGGGATTATCTTGAGAGAAAATTGTCCCACGAGCGATTTGTGGGCATGGTGGGCTGGCTAATCCTGAGCGCCTTCCTGTTGGCTGGGAGTGTCTTGGTCTTGTTTCTCCCTTAGCTGGCCGAACAGTCAGCACATACATTCTTTGTTCCGTCCTGCTTTTGGGCACCACCCTAGGTACCAGGGGGTGAGGTGGGAGAGAGAGATTGTAGTTGACAGGCAGCAGTAAAGGGGACACATTCCACCCCTCCCTCGAAGAGCATCTTGGTGGTCACAGACTTCAGTTCTGGAGTCAAATCGCTCAGGGTCAAATTCTGGCTTCCATATTTATTAGCTGTGTGACCTTGAGCAAGTGACTTAACATCTCTGATCTTCTGTTTCTCAATCCATAAAAGGGGGGAATAGTGGTACCTGTATAGAATTCTTGTGAGAATCAGGTGAGCTAATCCACGTGTAGTGATTAGCCGTGGTTTTTGTTATCCAGTGAGAGGGATACACAAAGCAACCCTTTCTCACGTGCCGTTGCGTGTCAGCACTCGAGTGAACGATTTAGCCACATTTATCATGTCGGGTTTCCCTTCTAACCACCCTGCCGAATGGGTGTGATGGCTCCTGTCCCAGGTGAGCCAGCAGCAGTGAAATGCAGAAGTTAAGCTGTTGGGTTAAGGTCGCACAGCTGGCAGAGGGGAAGATGGGGTTAGAACCCAGGACTGACAGGAACATGCCATGTCCTTCCTGAACATGCGGTGTAGGGTGAGATGTGCTTCCTACAAGCAAAGAGAACGTCTTGGGAAGGAGACATCCTACCCAGCTGGGGCGCAGGCTTTGCCGGTGCCTGTGCACGCTTTGCTTTCCTGAGCGTGTCTGTGTCTACACTGGGGTCTGGGCTGTCCACACTGTGCTCCCAGGGACTCTCTGTCACCCTCAGGGCCCCCCCTTTTCTCTCGCGCTTTCCTCTGCATCAGAAGGAACAACTGAGCTTCCCGTTCTCCTACCTCCGTGACCTCTCGGCTCCATCTTTCTCCCTTAGTGCGATAATGACATTTTTTAAACCACAATTTTACTTTTGGGAGGTGGGGGGTCTCTTTCATGTTTCCTTGTCTTGCCTCCACCATCCCCCGTTGAGGTGCAGAAATAGTCCCAGCTGTGAGATGAAGGTTCCGGAGTTAAAATTGAACTTGGTGCTATTTATACTCCAGCCCGAAAGATGGGGTTTTTTTGGTGCAGTCGTTTATTTTGTTGTGGTATCGACGGCTCATGCTGGAAGCGGCAGGCACTGGCGCTGTATAAACATTTCTCTGGGGACAAGTGGGCGGCGAGGGAGTCTTCAGGTGGGGGGGGCGGGGACGAGGCCACCCCTCCTTGGAGCAGAACCACGTGGCCTGGTAAGCCAGAGAAAGTGGTTCATGTTCTGGGTGAACTTTATTTCTGGATGCTTGGTAATTACAACAGCAACAACAAAAACCGGTATTTTATAAGTCATGAGCATAGTACATACTCGAGCGGGGAGAAAAGCTCAAACTGATTTTTACACAAGTGAATGAAGCGGGGTTTGTACCCCGGCGGGCCCTCTCAGTGTTCACAGTTGGCTTGGCCCGTGGAGTGTTAAAGATTTTCTTTTTTGAAAGTGTGCCAATATTTAAAAATTGGGACTTTCCCATCAAATTAGAGTTTCTGACTTCTCCTGGAAGATGGAAAGATCTAGCAGCCCTAGGCTGGTGTTTACTGATGGCGGCTAGTGGCTAGTGGCTCCAGAACTAGACAGGCACCTCTCAGATGACCACAAGCTCTGATGACCTGTTTCACTCGTTTATGTCGCTGCCTGGCCTGATCTTTTGAGTGCTGGACCATTCAAATAACATAAAACATTTAAGTCCCCATTGTCAGAGCCCATTCCCCATCCCTATTCCCCAGGGTGACGAAAGCACTATTAATAGGGTTTCCAAAGAAACTATAGCATGCGCAGTTAAATTTGAATTTCAGATAAACAACAAATAATTTTTTAGTGTAAGCATGTCTCACCAGGCATGGTCGCTCACACCTACAATCCAGCTACTCGGGAGGCAGAGACAGGAGGATTGCTTGAGCCCATCCTGGGCACCATAGTGAGACCCCATCTCTTAAAAAAAAAAAAAAAAGCACGTCCCTTAACTGTTAACAGTTAGGCACATATCATTCCAGGCCATTCTCTGTTGAACCATGTACGTTTTTGTATGTGTTTACAAAGATAGATTTGTAACCAACACCTCCAGCACCTTTCTTTTCCTCCCCAGGTGCTGCTCAGGGGGCACGTTGCGGAGTTTATCCGAGCAGGATCTGAGGCTGTGGACTCCAGCCTACGTTAGAATCCTGGCCCCATCCCTTGTTAGCTGTGTGACCTCGAGCAGCTTACTTCACCTCTCTGAGCCTCAGTTTGCTCATCTGTACAGGGAGGAGATAAGGGTAGCTTTGTTATTTCCAGTTAGCATTTATTGATCTCTTTTGAGCGCTGTGTAGAGTGGGTCGTCTGCGTTGGCTTTAACCAGTCCTCCATGGGTGGGAGTCAAGACTACTGTCAGCGTATTGCTATTTCAGACCAGGCTACGGAAAGGGGTCTAGAAGGAACTGGGCACATAATCCTAAGACTTAGTTTGCTTTGGAAAAAAAAAAAAATGAAGGGTGTTTGTCTCCCTGGAAACCACTTGCTAATCTCCAGGATATTGTCTCTCTTTCAGGCGAAGGAGGTGGAGGAGACCATCGAGGGGATGCTCCTGAGGCTGGAGGAATTTTGCAGCCTGACGGACATGGTGAGCGCCTGCCCGGGAGGTGTGGACGAGGCCAAGGCCCGACTTCTGGGCCTGATGGAGTTTTCTGGGGACGCCATTTTGGTGGTGATTTAGCAACCAGAAGGAACGGGGCAGCGGCCAGCGGTGAGAGGAAAGCCACACACACTCTCTCTCTCTCACACACACACACACACACACACACACACACACTCACTCTCTCTCTCTCTCTCTCTCCCCCTCCCCCCCACTCTCTCTCTCACACACAGACTCGCTCTCTCAACCCCAAGTGCTTCCTGAGGCAGCCATCTTGATCTCGTCCTTCCCCTGAGATGGTTTTATTCCGCAGAGGAGCCGGGAGCGGGCCACAAGGTGGCACTCTCGGGCACCGATGCGGGGAGCCGTTCAGTGGGGATGCTAAGACTATATTTAACTTTCCTCGGCTGTGCGCAGTTCGCTGTGCAAACATGGAGACAGCCAGGAAATGGCTTCAGGCCTGCGAGGCCCAGGAGGAGCCTCTTGCCCGGGCCACAGCTCGTGGTGGGGTTGGGCATCAAGTTCCTTCCTGAATCCTTTTGTTCTCTCGGCTTTGGCCTCCTACCCTGTTTTGTTGGCTCAAATCCCCTAGGCCGGGTGGGGAAGAAGATGGAAGACAATGCCTTAGGCCCGGAAGACAAAGTCTCTAGTCCAAATTCTCTAAGAAGTTGCCTCTAGATCCTCGTGTCCCCGAGGCTGTTGCCAGCCAGGTATAGAGCCCCTAGGAACAGTGATGGAATTTTCTAGACGTTCCAAAGCTTATTAGAGGCAAACCAGCAACCCAGGTTTGAGGCTTCTGCCAGGAGGCCCAAAGGATAGAGCTTCATGCGGCGACCAGGCCCTGCCTCTCTCTGGCGCAGAGGAAGCCTGGCCGCCAGGGCCCAGTGGCGTGGATTTATACCCCTGCAAAGAACAGTGCCCAGCACCTGCGAGGCATTTGTGAGAGTCCAAGGGAGTAAAGTAACAACAGCCCCAGACATTTATCGAGCACCTACCTTGCACCAGGCGCTGTGTTTGTTACCCCTGTATGCTCCGCAGACATTTGAGTGCCTGCCCCGGGCCAGACTCTGGGGCACGGCAGTGAGTGAGACAGACACCTTCCCGAGAGGACCTATGTGTTTTTTCCTCTTTTTAAAGTTCAGCTGTGGGTCCAGGTGGGAGCTAGGTAATAAGACAGGCTTTTAACGGCCTGGGTAGTCCTTTCCTCGTCACCAAGCATTGGACACTTCTCACAAAGGGGCCCCATGATGAGCTAGAGGCCGCAAAGAGACTTCAATCTGTCTCTGTCCCCACTGAGCCCCAGGCTACTGGGGGAGACGGCTTTGGGTACCAGCTGCCGTTGTGAAGGTGCGTTCCGGGTGCAAAGGGATCCCAGAGCAGAGACGTTAAATCCTACCTGGGAACTGGGGAAGGCTTCGCAGAACAGGTGGTGATTCATTTGGGGCTTGAAGGAGGAATGGAAAGAATTCAACAGATGGGGCAAGAGGGCGTCCAGGCAGAGGGAGCAGCCTGTGCAAAGGCCGGAAGGCCAGGGACGTGGTGCGGCTGTCACTGCGTGGAGGATGCTGGCTGCAGGCAGGGGAGGCAAGTCTGGAAGACGGTGTGGACGGATGCTCCAGGGGCACTCTTGTTCCCAAGTCCCACCTCAGCATCCCTGTGGGTGTTCCGTGTAAGGAGACCCTCCATCCAGCTTGAGAGGAGAGCTCGGGGCAGGCGTCCGCTTGGACAGCAGAGAGAGGCCCGTTCCACCCAGCCCTGGAAAACCATCACTGCTTTCCTGGCGGGACGTATGCGTCTGTGTCTCCAGGAGACCCAAGACTGCAGGCAGCATCGGGAAGGTCTTCCTCACCTGGAGCCTGGAGATGTTCTCTGCAAGGGTTTTAATTCTGAGGCCATGCACGAATGACCCATGGGCCCAGTCCTGCCTGCAGAGATGTTTCTGGAAAAAAACAACAGAGAACGTAAGCATTAGCTGCTGCCATTTTTAGAATTTCATGCAAAAAAATCTGGATTTCTGGCTTTTCTCAGAAAAGTGAAGATATGTCCCCCTGGGGTGCTTATTCCTACCTGGCAAGCGTCACCAAGGCACCTGGCACGCAAGCGGCTGCCCGCTGTGCATTGCACGTGTGGCTCTCCCGCTTGTCAGAGCTCCAGCTGCTCCCTGGGGAGCCTCCCCGACTCCACAGCCACCGCGTGCTCGTGTGTTTTTGATAGATTACATCTCCCTGTACTTTTGACCCTACCCAAAGTGGGAAAATAAAGCCAGGCCAAGAGGGTCCCATGTTCCAAGAAATGGAAGAGAGCGCGCTTCCTTGTGGAAGCGGAGATCTTTCCATGTGTCCACGCTGATATGACATACCCAGCCTGCGCTGCGACCGTGTGGTGCTTCTGGGGCCCCTGCAGGCATTTGAGTTTGCAGCCCCTTGCAGCTGGGCTCTGTGCCGATGACACTTATGTTGTAGAAATCCTCTGGCCCCCCAGTGGTTGGAACTTGGCTCGCCTGCCATGCCAGTGCCCTTGAGTCATGGGCGCACGGCTGCAGAGAGAGGTGTCTGGTTATCAGTCCTAGCTTGGCACTTCCTTTGCTCTTCAGAGCTGCCTTAAAATCTAAGGTAGGGGGCAGGTGATGTCACACCATGGACCACTGCCCCTCGGGCCCCTGCCTCAGCCTTCAGAGACGCTGTCTGATCAATTTAGAGGTCTGAGAGAAGCCAGACTCTACGCTGCATGATTTAGAGAGAAGCCACTTCCTTTCTGATACAATCAGGCTGTTAGAAATCAAAGTCCAGCTTCCTGTCTGGTGTATTAATTCTTCCACCAGCTTGGCCTTGATCACTCTCTGTGACTGAAATCTGCTACTCTGTGCTGGGACCTGTTTTGACCCTCGATATAATGCCAATTGTTGGCACTTCGAGCTCTGCTTTTTCCTGCTGTGGGGACTTGGGCTCGTCACTTTACCTCTCTGAATCTTTATCTTCTCCATGAAATGGAGATCATGGTTCTGATGATCTGTTGCTGCATCAAACTCCCCCAAAACTTAGTGGTGTAAAACAGCCAGTTTATTCTGTGGGCTAAAGCAGGGCACAGGGGCGACAGCTCTTCTGAGCCACGTGTCACCTGTGGGGATGGGGATTTCAAGTTGGCTCCTTCGTCACTTGTCTGGCACCTGGGCTGGGATGGCTGATCTAGCTGGGGACTGGTTGGCGTGACTTTCCTCCATGCAGCCTCTCCGCGTGGCTGCCTTGGGCTTCCTCATAGCATGGCCGTCTGGCCTCCCTGGAGCGATTATTACAATGGGCAGGAAATGGAAGCTGCAAAGTCTCCTGAGGCCTGGCTTTGGAATTTGGCACAGTGGCACTTCTGTCGTAGTTTATTGGTCAGAGCAGGCACATAGCCCGCTCGTAATCACGGGGAGAGGACGTGGACTGCCACCTCTTCCTGGGAGGAACATAACACACTACAAGTGGTATCCATCTAGCCAAGCATCGTGGCTCACACCTGTAACACCAGCACTTTGGGAGGCCGAGGCAGGAGGACTGCTTGAGGTCAGGAGTTCGAGACCAGCCTGGGCAAAATAGTGAGACCCCGGTCTCTACAAAAAATTAAGAAAAGAAAAAACAAATGGTATCCATCTCCAAAGAGTTACTGTGAGGAATAGCTGAGGCAGGGTGTGTGTTTCACACCCACTAGAATGGCTCGAATTAAAAACCACCAACATGTCAGGTGTCAGCAAGGATGTAGAGCAACTGAAACACTAATACATTCCCGGTAGAAATACAAAAAGACATGGCCAGTCTGGAAAACCATTTGGCAGTTTCTTATAAACATACGCTTAACCCTGTATCCCAGCAATTCTAATCCTAGGTCATTACCAAAGAGAAACGAAAACAAGCGTCTACACAAAGACTCATACCCAAGTGTTCCTAGCAGCCTCGTTCATCATGCCCCACGCTGGAAACATCCCACATGTCCACCAGCAGTGAAATGGGTAAATAAATTGTTATTCATTCACGTATTGGAATACGACACAATGATGAAAAAGAATGGCTAGCTGTCCCCAGCAACAGGGATGCGTCGCACAAACGTGACGTTGAGTGAGAAGCCAGGCACGAGAATACGTCCTGTGTGCTTCCATCAGTCTGAGGTTCGGAAATAGGCAACACTGATGCACAGTGGTAGAAATCAGGCAGTGGTCGGCTTTGGGAGAGTGCCTGTGAGGGGGAGGAGGCATGAGGGGGTCTAATGGGGTGATGGAATGTTCTGTGTCGCGGTCTGGGCGGTGGTGACACAGATGCAAACATCTGTACAAACTCGTCAAGCTGTCCACTTAAGACCTCTCTGCATGTCATTTACACGCAATTAAAAATAATTGCCGAGCACAGTGCCTGCTGTGTATTACAGGACCGATAAATGGTAGCTACTAATGTCATCATCGTCATTATCAAAACCAGAGGGCCGTGGCACTGGGGATGTTACCACAGTAACTGGATTTGTGAGGCCTTTCCCGCTCAGCCCTCTGGACTTTGGAAGGCTCGTCCAGTTCCTCTGAGACCCCAGTGGCCTCAGGCCCACCTTCCGCCAGGGAGCAGACTCTTCCTTTGCTCACATAGACGGAGAACATTCCTGCTGGCCTGGGCCCAGCAGTTGCATTTGGCACGGGTGCGTGTTCTTGGGTCAAGTGCGTTTGGTCTCCTTCCTGGGGGCCCTGAATCGTCTTGGACAGCCGATGACCTCAGCACCTGCCGCCCGGACTTCTGGGCTCCCGAGACCAGCTCTGGGGAGGTGGGAGGGTGGGCTGGGGATCCCGGGGCTCAGCTCATAAACCCGTCAGATTGGTCCTGGCAGAGGCTCCAGAGCACTGATCCTTCGCCGACACCTCTTTGCTCCTCTCAGAGTATAGCCCAAGGCGTGCAGAGTCACATGCCCTTGATGTGACCACGTGAAGCGAGTTGGGTGTGAGAAATGTGTCACTTTCCTCTTGACCCCCCTATAAGAAGAAAAGTGCTCTGAGTAGCCATGGACTCCATGTTGGGGAGACTCTAGGGAGTGGCGGGGACTGGGGCTGTCAAAGGAGGCAGCTGTCAGCCGGCTCCAGCTGGTTGTTGTCATGTGAAGTGTGGGCTCAGTGTGGCTGGATCTAGGCTCAGTATGGTCACATCTTCTGATTTTTCACAAGAAGCCAGAAATCTGGGTTTCTAAGGGAAATATTCTGAATTTGACATTTTGGCATTTTCTCGTGCTTTTGTTTGTTTTTTAGACATCAGGCTGACACTGCCTGGGCCTGACAGAACTGTGTCTGTGGACCTCTGGGGTTGGGGGTGGCCTCAGACCAACCTGGATTGCAAACCTCCCTCCCTCGCTTTCCAGCTTTGTGACCTTGGCCAGCCCATTTAGTCTCTGAGCCTTGGTTTTCTCACCCTTAAGATAAGGCTGAAGAGGAAACAGTTCTTGCCGCACAGGCTCTGTCCCAGCACGTGGTGAAAGCTCAGAGTGTGGTCTGTTGGTGCCGTGCCTTTTGTGACTGGGCCTGCGTTAAATAACCCTGAAATTTCCTCTTACAGTTCCCAGCCCACGGTGGACCCAAGGGTAAGGGCTGGGATCTCTCAGCCGCCTAGGCTTGCCTGCCCCGCCCCCACCCTAAGCACCTGCCTCTGCAGGTAGAGACAGCCCTTCCTGCTGACACTCGGCGTTGGAGAAGCTGCTCCAGAGAAGGGCCCTCTGTGTCCTCTAGTTCCTTGGAGTTTAGGGGGAGGCGGGGAGAGCTCCTTCTCCTTCACCCCTGTAGGTTGCTAAGACCAATCCCCCATTCTCACTCCCTTCTCCCGTTTGGTTTCTTTAGAAATTAACAGAAAAGAAAGATTTGCATTTGCTCTGCAGTGTTTGGGCCTTGCCATGGGGTTAGTTATCTGCTTTGTGTCATGTTATGTGCTTTCTCCTAGGTGGAGGGACGGGCTTCTCTCTAGACATTCGGCCTGGGGCAGACAGGGAGGGTATGGAAGACAAATGCTGGAGACAGGCAGGGTGCGGACATGAGCAAAGCGGGCAGGGATGGGACACTAGGGAGGGGTGGGGACTGTGGCAGCAGGCGAGCTCGGGCCGACCTGGAGGGAGCCGCCCCAGCCCTTGGTGTCTGGGGAGACGCAGGCCCAGTGCTGCCGGAGCTACGGTTAAGAGTAGCTGTAAATCCAGACTGAATTACTTGAACTTTTAAAACCGTATTTATGTATTTTATTTCAGAATAGTTTTAGATTTATGGGAAAGTTATAAAGGTAGTTCAGAGAGTTCTCATATACCTCCCTCAAGAACATCTCACGTCACACGTACGTTGGTTGGAAGTCAGAAGCCCATGTTGGGCCCTTGCTATTCACTGAGCTCCGCGCTTTATTTTGATTTCACCGGTTTCCCGTTAATGTCCTCTTTTGTTCCAGGTTCCAGTCTCAGATGCCGCATTGCACCAAGCTGTATGTCTCCTTAGGCTCCGCTGATCTGAGGCAATGTCAGTCTTTCCTTGTTTTTCGTGACTTTGACAGTTTCAAGGAGCGCTGTTCAGGGATCTGGCAGAGGGTCCCCCGATTTGGGTTTTTCTGCTCTTTTCCTTGTGGTTAGACGGGAGTTACGAGTTTATGGAAAGAACGGCGCAGAGGAGGGGCCTTCTCATCGTACCCTGTGAGGGGGTACCCAGCGCCCCCTGGCATCGCTGTGCATGTGAACCTCCATCGCTTGCGGAGGGTGGTCTCTGCCAGGTTTCTCCACTGGAATGTTACTGGTTTCCCCTTTCTACACCCCTATTGATTATGTGTGCTCATCAGACACGGGCATGTTGTATACTTCGGGTTATAATCCAGTACTACGTTGCTTATTTTGTTGCTCAAGTTGTTCCAGCTTTGGCCATTTTACTCTTCCGGGTTGGCTCCTGCACCCCTCTGACATGCCCCATCCTTAATTTTTTTTGAATCCTTCCTTTCTAGTCCCACAAGATGCTCCAGGCTCTCTTATATTTCCCCCATCCTAGCCCTGGAAGCAGCCATTTCTTCTAGGAGCCCCACTGGAATTTTAAATTTGGAAATTAAGTCAAATGGAAATACCAAAACACTTTGGGGGCCACATGAGGGGTCTCCGTGGGCCACATTCAGACGCAGATGGTTTTGTTTAATCCTCATGGAGTTCTTGTGAGAAAAGCACTACTATGCACCCCCATTTTACAGATGAAGAAACAAGCACAGGGAGGCTGGGGGACTTACCTGGGGTCATGGTGAAGAAGGGTGGGGCAGGGACTGAGGCTGGGCAGCCTGATACCAGATGCCACCTCTCAGGGCCAATCTTTGACATTGTGGGATCAGGACATAAGAAAAGACCTTCCCTGAGGACACTGGACTTGGAACCAAGTGCCCTGGGAGCTGGTGGCACTATGCCTAGGGGAGGGGATGCAGGGAGGGGTGGGTGTGGAGGGAGGCCTGGAGGAGTTTGGTTTTGGACAAGTAGGGCAGTGGGGTTAGGCTCTCGAGAGAGCCTGTGACAAGGATTTTGAGACACCTGGCCAGGGGGATGTCATCTGAATGGCAGGGGAGCAGATGTCCATGAGAACTACAAGAAGTCTTACATACTTAGGCAGCAAGAGGAAGAGAAACAGAGTTTTCAAAAATGTTTTAAAAATAAACATTTTATACTGAGTTGCCATTCTGTGTTATCCATCGCTACATAAAAAATTATGTCAATTAGTGGCTTAAAACAATGTTTATTCTGGTGCAGCAGAGCTAGGTCCTCTGGCTCGGGGTCTCTTGCAGGCTGCGGTCAGTGGGTTGGCCAGGCTGCTGTGCTCATGAGGCCCGACTGGGGCACCAGCTGCCCCCAGGATTCAGTTCCCCGTGGGCTGTTGGCTGCAGGCCGCCCTCAGTTCCTTGCTGCATGGGCCCCTCCAGCATGGTGACTGGCTTCATCGAAGCAGGCAACGGAGAGGGTGGGGGGAGAGGGTGTGCACGAGTGAGCCAGCAGAGAGGGGACACTAGCAAGATGCCCGTGACAGCCTTGTGTCACCTACTCTTGGAGGTGACATCTCACCCCTGTGGCCGGCTCCTTCATTAGAAGCGAGTCATTAGGTCCAGCCCACAGTCTCGGGGAGGGGAGCGCACCCAAAGGCGTGGACGCCAGGAGGACGGGAGTCACTGGGACCCATCAGGAGCTGCCGGCGCTCTGCTAAACACTTCACCCTCACAGCATTCCAGCGAAGGACCGACCCCATCATTGCACCACTGTCCAGATAAGCAAAGGAGGGCTCAGAGAGGTGTGGTGACTTACCCAGGGTCACACAGCTCATGGTGGGTAGAGCTAAATTTACATTCTAGTCTGACTCTCGAGTCCAGCTCCTGCTGTGCCCACTGGTGTTCCTCTAACTGTGGTTCCCAGATCCCCACTCTAGTGCTGTTCAGAGCCTTGGCCGAAAATGTGGATTCCCAGACAAACAGGACCAGAGCCAGAGGGGCCCGGGAGTCAGCGTGTGACAGGCTTCTCCCAGGGGACTCGGTTGCTCCCAGAATTTGAGAGCAGCGTGTGTACTGCCTTTCTGCACAGCGAGGATGTGATACGTGCAAATGGCATCTCTCTTTCACACACACACACACACACACAGAAGGGTTAGCCTTGGGCCTTAGGCTCTGAAGGAAAACAGGTGTCAGTGTCTAATTTCAGTGATCCAGGGAAAGATGTGGCTTCCCAAAGTTCACAGTCACTTTTGGGGTCCTTATAAGCAGAAGAAAATGAAAATGAGATGGTGCGAGGAAGTATTTAGGACAGTGCTTGTGTGTGAGAGTCATGGTTTTTGTTAACATGAATGAGTATTGATGATAATTATCAACTTGTTAACATTATTAATTCCAGTGCAACAAAAACTGGACCTAGCAGTTTGGTTTAGAGAAGAGATTTTGCTGCTTTCCATTTGCTCCAGTTTAGTGGGTTAGTGGTTGAAGATGTTCAGTTTGGGACTCACTGCTGGTTGTTTGGGTAGGGGAACGATTAATTTGTCGGTCAATAAGTATTAATAATACCCGGGTAGGTCTGGGTGCCAAGAGGCAATGAATTTGGTTTCCACGTGGGGCTGGGTTGTTCCTGGGCCTGTCCTTGAGCAGGACACCACCTGGCGTCTTGGCTGTCAGCGGGGTCAGCGCAGATGCCGGCCAGCCCCCAAGACAGGCAGGAGGACGCGGCGACAGGGCGGGGCGCCTGAGGAGCTGTTTTGTTCCTTGCAGATCAGGAGCGACACTTCGCAGATCCTGGAGGAAAACATCCCACTCCTTAAGGCCAAAGTGACAGAAATTCGTGGCGTCTACACCAAAGTGGACCAGCTAGAGGTGCGTGGAGGATACTAACGAAGTTTCTTTGTGAGACCCGCAGACTCGATCTGGTCGTCACCCTCTCTTCGAAGACGCAGGTCTGGCCTTGAGAGCATCGGGTGTTGGGCACAACAGAGGGGGTTTGTGATGAAAGGAGCGGGGCTGCACGCACATGGTATTTTTTTAAAAAATGACAAAGAAGAATTTGTTTCCAACATTTAAAAATCAGGATGCTTTATATAAAAATCTGAATGTTAAGCTTCTTTTGAAAATTTAGAAGCTTCAATACCCTGCACCCACATTTCTTTAAATACGTTAATGTGTTTGTTTTTCAAGGTGTAAATACATAAGTGCACATCTTAAGTGTACATTTCAGTGAATGTTTACAGGTATCAATACCTGCATAAAGGTGACCCCAATTGAGAGAGAGAACATTTCCAGCCCCTGGGCCGCATTCCTGCAAGAATGGGGAGAGCGTGTGGCAGCTGCCCTGCAGAAGGGCACGGGCTCTCTGCTTCTCCACAGACCCCACCTGGCCCTGTTGCCTCTCTGCTGGCCCAGTCACCTGTCCCTTCCTTGCCTGGGCCGAGATGCCTGGCCCTTCATTTCCTCTTTGCTGCCCTGCAAAGTGGGTCCCCAGCTCCCAGAGGAGGAGCACGTGCTCCACAAGGTAGTTATGTGACACCGGACTCCAGCTCACGTCTGCCGGAGCTCAGCCACGGCCTGGGCGTGGGCTCGGGACCCAGGCCCCCTGCACAGGGAAGGGCTGGGAGGAGCTCGTGGCTGTGGAAGGGTCACCTGGCCGGGGGGCTGTGGGCCCTCTGAGCTGCAGGGGGGGGACAAGCGTGGCAGTCGGCACCGGGTTAGCAGAGAATTAACATTCTTGTCAGCAGAGAATGAAGCAGGAATATAATTAAAACTTTGCCCTTGGAATAGCTGATTCATTTGAATTTGATTCCACACATTCGAAAGAGGAAAGAGAACGTGAAAATGTGTAGCCTGGTTCTCGCCTTGCCTGGGCCCGGCTGTCACGCCCAGTTCCTTTCTGGGCATTCTGTCCCCTGTCGCTGACCGAGGGCCGGGGAGACACTCAACAAAGGATTACCATGGTGGCTTCCGGTGTCACAAATCGCCACAAACATAGAGGCTTTGAACAACATGCATTCGTTAGCTTACAGGTCTGGAGGTCGGAGACCCAAAATGTGCCTTATGGGGCCAAAACCAGGGTGTTGGCAGGTTGGTTCCCTTTGACTCGGGGAGAATCCATTTCCTCGCCTTTGCCGGTGCCGAGGCCACCTGCATCCCCCTCTTCAAAGCCGACAGCGTAGCGTCTTCCGGGCTCTCTGCTGGTCTGGCCCCCCGGCCTCCCCCTTGTAAGGACCCTCGTGGTGACATTGGCCTCCCTGGATAATCCAGCTAGTCTCCCTTTAAGATCCTGAACTTAACCACGCCTGCTGAGTCTCTGGGAAGGTCACACGTTCACACCATGCAGGGACTAGGACGTGAACATCTTTGGGAGCCGTGGTTCTGCTGCCCACCGCGACCAAGCATTTGGCTTCGTTAGGCGAGTGCTGTGAAGGCAGTAGCGGCTGGGGGTGGGGTCTGCGGCCCCAGAGGATGCAGGGAAGAGATGTGCTGGGGGAGGGGCTGGGCAGGGGGAGGGGTGCAGCCCAGGCAGAGGCCCCTGGAGGGGAAGGATCTTAGCTCTGCTGTCTGGGAGGAGACTGGGACACTGGAAGAATCCTGGGAGGCCAGATCGAGGGGCTGAAGGGGATTTGGACCCATGTGTGGCTGAGGAACTGGCAGCAGAGCTGGGCTGTCCTGGCCTTGCCATCCAAGGTCAGGATTTTGACCTTTATCCCGAGGAGACAGAAGCCATGGGGAGACAGTACGGCCTGGTGGTTAGGAGTGCCAGCTCCAGAGTGGGGCTTCTCCGCCGCAGCGCTGTTGATGCTTGGGGCTGGAAAGTTCTCTGTGGAGAGGTGTCCTGGACATGGTGGGACACTTAGCAGCAGCTCTGGCCTCCACCCACAGGGTTCTGTTAGCACCCCTCCCTCCACACTCCCCGCATGACAGCCAAACATGTCTCCAGGTGTGGCCAGGTATAGCCATGTGTCCCCTGGGGGACACATCACCCCTGTTTGGGACACACTGCCCTGGAGTCACAGGGCCTGGGTCCAAGCCCTGGCGTTGCCTCTTCCCGGTGTGTGATGCCACAGCAAGTTCTGGGCCTCGTTGCCCTACACTAGTGAGGTTCTCGCACCCAAACGTTGTCATCTTCGAAAGATATTTGCTGAACTTTGGGTGACCCTGAGATGCATGCGGGAAACACAGCTGCAGGGAGATGCTTGATCCCACGAGTGGCCCGTGAGGAGCTCGGGACAGGGACGCAGGCTGGGGGAGATAGGCCCGCTGCTCAGACACACTCAGAAGGGGCCAGAGCTCAGCCAGGCCTCCCGGGTGCAGCCAGGAGACCGGGGTAGGGAACGGCGTGTGCAGAGGCCCGGAGGCAGGAAAGGGCGAGCTTCTCGGGCACGTGGGGGGCGGGTGGAACTTGAGGTCGGGGATGAGCCTGGAACTGTGGGTGTGGCCGACAGTGCAGGGACGAGGTGTGGAGTTTGGGCCCTGTTCTGAGAATGACAGCGTCCGTTAGAGGGATAACAGCTGTTGTAATCTTCCCCCACCAACATCCAAATTGATTATCCTTAAAATGAAGCATTTGGAGGCTTTGTGTGTGTTTAAAGGTTGTACAACCATCACCACTACCTCGTTCCAGAACATTTTCCCAAAAGCAACTCTGTGCTCCTTAGGAATCATTCCCCACCCCTGGGCCCTGGCAACCACGCATCTATTTACTGTCTGTCTCTGGGAATTTGTCTGTTCTAGATGTTTCATAATCATACCATATGTGGCCTTTTGTGTCTGCCTTTCACTCCACTTAATGTTTTCAGCGTTTATCCGTGTCGTAGCGTGTGTTAGTATTTCATTCCTTCTTATGGCTGAATGGTATTCCATTGCATGGATGTACCATATTTCATTTGTCCATCCATCAGTTGGTAGACATTTGGTTGGTTTCTACTTTTTGGCCATCCTGAATAATGCTGCCGTGGTACATTTGTGTGCTAGTTTTTATGTGGACATATGTTTTTATTTCTTTCGTGTAAATGCCTAGGAGTGTGTTTGGTGGGTCATGTGGTAACTCTTTTTAGGAAGTCCCAAACTGTTTTCCAAAGCAACTACACCATTTTCCACTCCCACCAGCAATTACTATGAGTTTTAGATGGAGGTCACAAACTCTGATGCCAGCAGGAACTGGGACTGCTAGAGGGTCAGGTGTTAGAAGGCCGACGCAGTCCTTCCCATTCCTTTCTGGGGGCGGCTGGAGCTGAGAGTCAACTGTCCCCTTCCATGGGGTGTGATCTCCAGTCTGCCACAGTCCCCACTCTGCCCTAGAGTCTCACCAGTGGTAAGGCTGAGTGGCACCCACTTGTATCAACAGCCCTGCACTGTTGCTTTCCTTAGAGAGGGGATTTCTTTGTAACTGGGTTTCTATTAAAAGGAGGAAAAACCTAAGTTAGTCCAAGAAGATCATGGATTTTAGGCAAGTGGGAGATTATGTACTTGCCACTAGTTCAAGTGTGTGTCATAAAATCTGCAAAACTTGGAGTCGATGAGAACCTAATGTTGTATGTGGCAGATGGAATCCAGAGCCAGAGAGTGGGGCTCAGATCTGCCCCCGGGGTGACTCACGCAGCCTCTCAGGGTCGGTCTCCTCCTCTGTCAGCCAGAAGTGTGCCGCTCCTCCCGGAGTCGTGAGGGTTAAACGAGTTAGGCCGGTACCTGGTGCGCAGGAGGCACTCAGCGAGGACAGGCAGTTCCTGAGATTGTACTTGTTGTCCACAGGCTGAGAGAGGCAGAATCTGTCTGGGGCGGGTGGTCACCACTCTGCCCCGCTGGCTGAGAGTCCCAGAGTGGCTAAAGTGTCAGTGGCTGCCATGGAGCTCGAGACCACCTGCCCTCAGAATCAGTGTGACCTGCCAGGTGGGAGCTTGGAAACCTCAAGGTGACCTCTCAGGCCAGAACTCAACCCTTTATCCGTTTTATTAATAAGAAATAACATTTATTGAGTATTTACTAGAGGCAGGGACTGTAGGTGCTTTACGCCACAGTGACCCCGGGAGGGAGGTCCTGTTCTTAACCCCATCTTATGGAAAAAGCAACAGAGGCACTGAGAGAAGTGATTTGCCCCAAATCGCACAGGTAGGAACTGCCAGAGCTGGGCTGGCAAAGTCTGTGTTCCTCGGTGCCGGACGCTGGCACCCCTTTCTGCACGGGGCCCTGCTCTGAAGCGGGGTCTCTAGCAGAAGTGTTCTAATTCCTCAATACTTATGGATGTATTTTTAAACCAAGGGGCTTCCCCCCAACACCGCCCGGCCGATTATAAAGGTAGCACGTTTTCACTGAAGGGAGGAATGGAGAGACATCCCCTGTACTGCCAGCACCCTGCCGTCGGGGTGGCTGAGGTCAGCGGTGGGCCCTCTCTCCGTCCCCTCGCCCTCCCGTGGCCACCCCGGCCCGTCTGAGTGGCGGACGTGTGTCTCTGGCTCCCACAGTCGGCCGCAGGGCAGCCCTGGCCCGGGTTGCAGCCTCTGCCGGCTGCGGCCCGGCCCCGCCGCCCGGGCTGGCAGGCGTTTTGGAGACGGTTCAGACATGCGAGTGCGCATTCCTCGGCGTCGCCTCACACTCCCCACCACACTGGTATTAGCGCAGGGAGCGTGAAATTGGAATCGGCTGGCAGAAGGGAGCGCAGGACTTTCGTCTGTGTTCTACAACCAGATGTGCTGGCCGAGCGAGGCTGCCGGGCCGAAGGCTCCTGGCCCGTGGCCCCGCGTCCCAGCCACCCCGCCGCCCCATCTCCGTGTACACACACGCGCACGACGTGGCCAATCAGCCTTTCAGCTCCGCTGCACCAGAAGCCCAGGGCAGCAGAGGCAGCACAGAAGCTGCCATCTTGGGTTCATCCAGTGTCTTTTTGCTAAGGACGCATTCATTCATTCATTCATTCATTCACTCGTGTGCATCCGCGCACCCGCCATCCGTGTGGGCCCCTTCTGCTGGGCCCGGCTCTGGTCTTGACCTGTGAACAAAGCTGACTCAGCACCTTCTCTTTCAGAACTTACGTTCTAGGCCGGGCGCGGTGGCTCACGCCTGTAATCCTAGCACTCTGGGAGGCCGAGGCGGGCGGATTGTTTGAGCTCAGGAGTTCAAAACCAGCCTGAGCAAGAGCGAGACCCCGTCTCTACTAAAAATAGAAAGAAATTAATTGGACAACTTAAAATATATAGAAAAAACTAGCCGGGCATGGTGGCGCATGCCTGTAGTCCCAGCTACTCGGGAGGCTGAGGCAGGAGGATCACTTGAGCCCAGGAGTTGGAGGTTGCTGTGAGCTAGGCTGAAGCCACGGCACTCTAGCCTGGGCAAAAGAGTGAGACTGTGTCTCAAAAATAAAAAAAAAAAAAAGAACTTAGTTTAAAGGCGGTGGACCGTGAACAGACAAGAATGGCGGAGCGCAGTGAGGGCTTGGGTACCAGGAAACTGGGAGATGCCATGGTGCCCGGGGGGCTGTGTGAGGGTCAGGGGAGGCCTCTCCGAGGAAGGGACGGTTGCTTCAAGGCCTAAAAGACAAGCAGGGCCACCCCATCAAGAAAGGAGTGGAGGGTGCTGTAGGGGGAGACAGCACGTGCGAAGGGACAGCAGAGTGAGGAACTGTGGGACACACGTGGGAGGCAGAAGGGCAGGGTGGGGGAGGCCTCATAGGCCACAGGAGGACCACGTTTCTTTCTAGTGAGGGGGAGGCTCCCCCGGAAGCTCCCAGCACTGAGATGTCCTCCTTCCTGTTCCCGATACAAGAAAATCCTTTCCCTTTTACCAATGGAACAAGGAAGGCCCACAGAGGTGGTGCTTCGCGTGAGGTGGCACCATTGCTGCCACCTTTGGTGCTTTTAGCCATGCACACACGTGCACGTTAACATGTGTGCTGAGCACAGAGGGAGGTGTGAAAAGACACACACCAGAGGTCACAAATGGGAGAGTTGAATTTTACTGGGCCTGCATGGTATTTTTTTTAAGTGTGGATTTATTGCTAATGTTGATTAAAAACTGGGAATTTTTCATAAAATCGAATGTTCTTTTCCTTCTTTCTAAAATGATAGCATCTGACATTTAATGAGATCTTAGTATGTGCTAAGCACTTAACTTGTTAATAAGGTTGGTGTTATTATCCCCATTTTACAGATTAGAAAATTGAGGCTAATGGAAAGTAAGTAACTTGCCTAAAGGCACATAATTATTAAGAGGTGGAACTTGAATTCTAATCCAGAGAGTCCGACTCCAGAGTTCTTTTTTATTTGTTGAAATTGGAAGGTCTGCCCTTGGGGCCTGGAGCTGAGTGGCCCCTGTTGGTCTGGACTCAGCCTTCCAGGTGACCCCCGCCCCCACTCAACCCTCCTCACCTGCTTACTGCCTGCCTGGCCCCTGGTGGCTTCTAGGTTCTAATATACAGTACATCAACCATTGAAGTGAGCATTTGGCAATTTCTTAAGAATCCATTTTCAACAAAAAAGCCTTTGAAATTTGATGAATGCGCCCTGAGGCCCCTCTCTGCTACTTTCTGGCTGTGTGACTTCAGGGAGGTGACCTAACCTCTCTGAGCCTCTGTAAAATGGAGGCAAAATATAGGGTCACTAAGGAGAAATGTGAGGGACACAAGAGGGGGCTATGACTGTCATTGCCAGGCCCCTCCCACCACACAGGCCGTAGAGGGCCTCCCGGGAAGCCCAGTCGGAGGAAGGCCGGTCCTGGTGATCAGGGCCGGGTGTGGCCAGGACTGTGCTCCAGCCCGAGCAGAGGTGGCATCACTCCTCTCCGTCTCTCCTCCAGGCCTTCGTCAGGATGGTCGGGCGCCAGGTCGCCTTCCTGGAAGCCGACGTGCTTCGGGCCGAGCGGGACCACGGGGCCTTCCCGCGGGCCCTGCGGAGGTGGCTGGGCACTGCCGGGTGCCCCTCCTTCGGGAACGTGAGTATCCTGCCCTCAACGTGAGGGGGGACCCCTCCCCGTTTCCTCCCAGACCCCAGAGTGGGGAAAATCGCTCAGGAAATGGGAGTTCAAAGGGCACATTTCACTCCTGCAGACGGGAAATGGTCTGTCGGGCCAGGTGGCTGGGGCGCCTCAGCCCCGCCCTCCCTCCTGCGACCTTCGTATTCCCATGCGCGCCCGGCTCCTGTGCTGTGACTGCTCATGCCTCCTCCGTCATTTATTGAGTACCTACTGTTTGCTGAGTACCATAGTGCATCTGGGGTTACCATAGCAAGCAGAAACAGCCCTTGCCCTCCTGCCCTGCCTCTGCACACTTAGGGACGATGCTTGACAGCACCCAGAATCCCGGCCAGGTCCTCCTTCCTGAGACCAGAGGAGCCAGGAAGGTGGATGGGCGCCCAGCCTGCATGTGGCCCTTTGTGGCCTACAGAGGCCTTTCCCTTCCACTTCTCCTCTGCCATCCTGGGATCCTTTCCATGACGCTGCAAGGAAGGAAGGATCATGTGTCCGTTTTTAAAAAATTAATTTTATTTAAAAAAATTTTTTTAGAGATGGGGTCTCACTATGTTGCCCAGGTTGGTCTCAGACTTCTGGGCTCAAGCGATCCTCCCACCTCAGCCTCTCGAGTAGCTGGGACTACAGCTATGAGCCTTTGCACCTGTCTCATGTGTCTCTTTCATGGATGAGAAAACTGAGGCCAGATTCTGAGACAGAGACCTTCGGTGTTTAAGACACATTCATCTTCCCAACCTGCTGATCCCCGGGTCCAGGGGACATCTGCCAATGTCTGGAGACGTTTTAGTTGTCACAGCTGGGGCGGGGGGTACTGGCATCTATTGGGGAGAGGCCACCCTGCGATTACAGAACAGCCCCTCACAACAGAGAATCATTCAGTCCCGATGTCAGTAGTGCCGAGTTTGAGAAACCCTGCCCTGAGCGGTGTTCGATGATTGTAATAGTGGTTTATGTCAGGTCTGTTGTAAGTGCTTTCTGTGCTGTTTTGTGTGGCACTGAATTCTCACAGCGGCCTTTCGAGGAAGGCACTTTTATCATCACCCCCATTTTATAGACGAGGAGACTGAGGCTCGGGGGTAACGGGGCTTGTCCAAGGCCAGACAGCCTGGAGTGCTTTGTCTGTGGGGCCTCGCCCCAGTGGGAAAGGTGCTTGTCCTGCCTTGCCCTGCCCCACCCTGCCCCACCCCTGCTGCCTCCCACTGCTCCCCTGTCCCCCACCTGCCCATCTCCACTTTATTTGTCACAGCGTTGCAGGTCTGTGTTAGGCACTGTGTGTGCCCTGATTCACTTACCTTTCCCGGTCATCTCGTGTGCAGGATGTTAACCGTGTCCCCGTGTGACAGGTGAGGAAACCGGAGCATAGAAACTCTCAGGAGCTCATAGAAACTCAGGAGCTCTGCCCGTGGGCGGATTCTGGCCCATGTAAACTCAGTCTGTTTGGCCGGGAAACCTGTTTAAACGGTGAGACTTGGGACGCCTGATTGGGCATTTGCTCTCCAGTCACAGGCTCCTGGCCCCATGGCTCCGTCTGTCTTACACCTGGCTAAGGCATGTGCCGCTCACCTGCCCACCTCTAGGTGAGTGACTCGCCCAAGCCCAGTGATAGCTGGACAGGAGTTTCACAGGTCTCGTGCTCTAGGAACTCCTACTGATCCTTCAGAGCCCAAGTTAACGCCACCTCCTGTGAGAAGCCCTCTGGGATTGTCCTTCTCCAGACAAACTCAACCTCTTTGCCTGCTAATGACAATGAAGTCACAAGCTGCATCCTTCGTCCTCCTCTCCCTCAAGTTACGGTGACCATTCCTGGCGATAGGGACTTGAGAAGCACTTTAGGGGGAGAAAGGACAGAGGACCTTGGCTACCTGTGGCCTGCGGCGAGTATCCTAACAGTGGGTCCTGTGGGGCGCTTGGTCTGCACTTGATGCTGTTCCCGTGATCTGCGCCATTGTCCCCACGAGGTTGGCACTAGTGTTCTCATTCCCAGAGGCAGAGACTGAGGCTTGGAGAAGGAGGGTCACCTCTCCGAGGTCGTTGCTGGGTTTGGAACCCAGGCCTGTGAGACTCCAAAACTGGGATCCCCCTGCCACTCCTGTCTCAGGGATGTGGCATCCCCCCGGGTGTGGCTGGGCACGCCGGGACCTGCACCCTCCCGTCTCCACCAGACTCTGGGCTGTGCTGAGCCATGGAGAGGCCCCCCAGCTACCTGTGGTGACTTGTTCCAGGAAGTGCGTCCCCGCCAAGGGTGGTGAGTCATTCAGCAACCCCGGCGTGTTGATCTTGGCCCCATAAGGGCTTGTCTGGGGGAACGGCGCAGCCGAGTACATGCACACGCGTGTGCAGACCCAAAGGCTTCCAGGGTTGTGACCTCACCCAGGGTGCAAGCTGGAGGCCTCTTCTAGAATAACGATTGTCACGGCTGGCATCAGGGCTGACTCTGCAGGTACCTGACAGCCTATCCGGTGAAGCAGGTCTGATCTTTGTTCCCGTTTTACAGCTGAGGAAACTGAGTCACTGTGGGGCTGAACTGCTTGCCCACCCAGTGAGTGGTGGAGCCAGGATTGGAACTTGTGATGCCTGGGCCCAGAGCTTGTGCTCTGCTCTGCACCCTGCCGGCGGTTCCGTGCACACTCTGACCTCTGGGCCAGCTTTTTCAAGGGTGGGAGTCCTCGTAGGATGATTACCCAGATGGTGCTCAGTTTCGTCCTTCTAGATCCCCCCAAAGCTGGGGTTTCGTCTCAAGTCAGTCCCCCTCAGGGTCTGACCCGGGGTGGACACCTCATTTCAGTGACTGCCACCTTCACCCTCAGACGCCGACACTTTAGAGGCAGGAACCACACGAAGCCCTCCCCTGCGGCCCCCCCGGGCAGCCGGGGGTCGGAGAGCTTTGTTTCCTTTCCTGCTCTTTCCCCCGAGACCCCGCTGCTCTGCCGAGGGGATTTCAAGGCATCCCCCAGCCCAGGCCCAAGCGGCCAGTCAGGTGGAACTGGTCACGTGGCGCCCCGGGCTGCCTGCTCTGGTGACCCGATTCCGTCTTCCCCCTGCCCCCCTGTGCCCTGGGGAGCCCGTGGAATGGAGAGGGCTGGGATGGGACAGGCTTTCGGGCCCGCCCGGCCCCGGGAACCCTGGCATGGGCTTCTGCTCCTGCGGGGTGTGCCCTGCCTCCCCGGACGCCCACTGCAGAGAGTCAGGGAGGGGTGGGGACTTGGAGCTGTTGGCAGGGCCTGTTAGGGGGTGTTCCCACCCCCTCCAGTCCTTCATCAGCTAGAATAGGAGTTGGGGGGTCTTGCTTTTCCTAACCATTGCCAGCCCTGCCTTCCCCAGTTCGCCTCCTCTCCCTCACCGGGCAGCTGTGGTGGGTGGTGGGCGCAGCTGGGCCACGGTCTCCTGGCACACCATGTGCAGCGCTGGGAAGCCATGTCCCCACCCCTCCCGGCCCCCACCCCTCTGCCCCAGCACTGGGGACCCAGACCCTCTGCCTGTGTGACTCGGTGCTGGGTGTGGACAGTGGCTGTGGCCTGGGCTGGCCCCAGGGGTGCCATGGAAGAGGCGGCCTGGGGACGCCAGTGTAACACCTTGTGGTGAGCCTGCCCCAAGGCCTTTTCCACCTGCCTCTGAGCTGCCTGAGAAACGTGCATTTGAGCCACAGACAGACCCAGCCTGGCCCCGGCCGCAGAATGCACACGTGTCCGTGCTACGTGTATATATCGTCATGGCACAAAAGTCCATACTTTCATGCTGCACTACGTAAAAAAGTTTTCTTTTTTTCTTTTTCTTTCTTTTTTTTTTTTTTTTGTAGAGACAGGGTCTTGTTCTGTGGCTCAGGCTGGAGTGCAGTGATGCCATCACAGCTCCCTGCAGCCTCGACCTCCTGGGCTTCAAGCGATCCTCTCGCCTCAGCCTCCCGAGCAGCTGGGACTACACGTGCCTGCCACCATGCCTGGTTAATTCCTTCTTTTTTTTTTTTTTTGTAGAAACAGGGTCTTTTTATGTTGTCCAGGCTGGTCTCAAAGTCCTGGCCTCAAGCGGTCCTCCCACCTTGGCCTCCCAAAGTGCTGGGATTACTGGCGTGAGCACCTAGCCAGGGAAAAGTTTTCGATTACACTTTCATGTGATCCTTACAATGTGATGACTGAGAATCACACTTCTCTTTCCCGGTACTAAGCCCCGTCTGTGACATTCCTTAGCTGTGTGCCCGTGGGCAAGTCACTTAGCCTCTCAAATCCTCAGAGGGCCTGACGATCAGTTGGCTGACACGGACAAGGTCATGAGCGGCTTTGCTTGCAGGGAAACCGTTCGGATTTGATACAAAATGATAAGGGCTGAACTGCGGCAGGGCAGAATGACTCTGGAAGTCTCAGGAGGACGGTTCTGAGTGTGGGGTTTAAGTGCATCGGCGGGTCTGGAAATCCAGCTTGTTCGTGAGCAGCGGAGTGGCCCGGGACAGACTTAGCTCTCGGGGGTGAGCAGTTGTCACAGGGTGGCTGGCACAGAGCCAGCCCTGCTGTGCCAGGCACTGTTCTCAACTCATCAGTCCTTGCGACGTGCCACCAGGGACGTGCTATTTTTATCCCCGTTATAGGTGAGGGAACTGAGACACAGAGAGGTTAAGTAACCTACCCAAGGCCACACAGCTGGGCACCAGGGCATGAACCTGCACCTTTACCTCTATGGCATATTGCCTTGGGAGAGAGCTGTGATCTCTTCCCTCGGGGCTGTGTCCCGTGAGAGAATACAGGCAATGACCAAATTCTAAGAAAATTTGATACATAGCTGTTTCTAAAGGAGGGCCTGGCCTGACCTCGTCTGAGCGGGTCAGGGATGGCCTCTGAGGAGGGGCCGCGGAGGCTGAGGTCGGGCTGGGGGGGAAGTGTGGGTCTGCAGTCGGAGAGGCGCGGCCGGGCAGCAGGAGGGAAGGGCTGAGCGTGGTGGCACAAGTGTGGCTGGCCCGGCAGAGAGCGGAGGGA